AGGGGAGCACGTCTGTAACCCGACACCGTTGCAATGAATCGACATCTGACCAATCACGGCTTTGATACGGCCACTAGTGCAGGTGAAGAGATGTCGGTGAAAAGACAGTTTCAGTCCGGCGCAAGCTAGAGGGAAAAAAAAAAAAACTTGAAGAAACTAGAGCATCACTCGAAGGTGGGTTATTGTCAAATGTACAACTTGCGAATGTTGTATAAGTCAAATTACCAATTGCCATATTAAAACATCAGCTGCATTTCACGACATGAAGAAGGCAGTCTCTGCATAGCATACATGCTAATGGAGATGCAGTTATTTCCAGCATTCTTTATTTACCATTCATTCAAGTATGTGATGCCTTTTATCTGCTAATGTACAGGAGGAAGAGAGATACACTGTCTGTCTAGTTGGCTTACATAACAGTTAAAGTTTACAGCCTAAAAAACATGGAGCATTTTTTCCCCTTTTATTCATTTTTATGTCAATTTGCACATTTCATGGTGATGCTCAGCCTCTCCCCTTAACTCCTAACAGTCATCATCATGTCAACCACAACACAGAGAAACACTGATAGAAATGTGTGTGTAGTTGTTGACACATTGCTGACAGAGGGAACAACATTTTAATACAGATTTAAGAAATATCAGTTTTTGAGCATGTCATAAGCATGTTTTGTCTTGACTATATTACAACTATATTATAATAAAATAATATAGTATTTATATTATTGAATTGATTATGATTATTATTATTATTAGTAGAAGTTGTTTATTTGCATTAATTATATTAATCTTTTTGAGGCTAGTATTTGGCAGGAAATGCAGACGTATTCACCTGTAAACGCATACTGAACGACATACATGCACAACCATTTACCTCACTGCATAAAAAAGTGTTGATAATAATAATAAACAGGAATTATATTTGCAAAGTAGCCAACTTTGTTTCCAAAAAAAATTTGTTTCACTCCTGTCGGTTGGGGGGGGACAATGTCGCTTGGGGCCCCTAGTTGGCCAGGGGCGGCCCTGGCTAAATGAGACTACTAAATGCTACACATTAGCCACATTTAGCTTAGTGGCGGTGACGTGAAGCCATGTGACCAAGATGTAGGTTGTCTAAAGCCTAACGTGGGCTTTTAAACTTTAAAAAACATAGAAATGACTCTGAATTCTGGAGAGAAGAGAGCCCAACTAATATGATGTGCACGTATACTGTGTGTCGCTATAAAAAGTGATAAATAGGGGGCCGGTTGGCTTTAATGAGTCGTTGGACCAGCTCTACCTCGCCTGCATCCTCTGGCAAGCACAATTAGTCACATTGATGAAGTGAGCAGCCGAACAATGGGCGAGACCCCGCTGGAGTCACCTCTGAGGGCGAGTCTCCTCCTCTAGGAGACATGATGGAGAGGCTACTAACAGGAAGCTGGGCACAAGATATGAATTGATCTCAAATATTTGCACTGTTACGAGAAGGAAAGGGAAGATTAAGGAGGCTAGATTCACAACATGCGCATGGTGTTGTTTTTAGAAGTGGAATTGGATCATTACCAGCTAATAAAACACATTTAAATACTTTGTTCAAAGGTTGTTTCTGTTACTTGAGTGCAGGTTTAATCAGATTAATGTTCTAAAAGTAATACAAGTGAAAAGACATTATGCTAATATATGGCCTTGGTGATAAAGTATTTCGTTATTATTACTCGTGCATTGGTGTAAAAAAACGATTGTTCAGTAGTTGAGGACGAGCTCAGTTTTGAATAATAACCGCTAGAAATTGAAATCTCAAAATGGCTCGTCCTCAACGGCGAAGAGAGAAGACCACAACAATTGTCACTTGCACGAAGCAAGGTTATACAAAAAACAAATGATCCCGAACATGAAATACCTTCACGGAGTGCGTCGATGCGCAAGCTGTCATCCAAAGAACAGGAGGGTTTAGCTAGCGCCTCACTGCAATCTTTAAAGGTCGTTTTCTCAAAATGAGTTGTTTCTCCTACTCTGCGTTCGAAATTTCAACTTCAGTTGCACGTAGATACACCAAACCTTCCAGTTATATTCCTATCAATATTATGAAGGCTTTTACAGAAGGGTTTGTTCATATATAATTCATAGCCTGAATTATACAACATTGTATACCTAAAAACATGGCGAAAATGGATATTTTAGGGCTGTTGACAGTATTTTCTGATTTATGGAGTGATAAAAAGAGATATCCAAAATCCCTTCTGTAAAAGCCTTAGATACTAATATGACTACAAAATTAAACAAGAATTTTGAACCTGGCTTTATCCAAAGTTCAGATTTCAATTCCTGAAATGTGTTAAGATATGTGCATATTTAATGAGATAATGGATAATTTGCATATTTAAACATGCTATTTCAGAAAACTTGTAATACAAAAGACAATTGCCTTATTGTAAGTAATTAACTGGAGAAATGTCTCGCTGATACCTTTAAGTTAAAAAAATTACCCTATTCACCTGGGGTGTCTCGCCTTAATGTATTGATTGATTGCTTGGTTTGTAAAAACTAGTACAAACTTTTTTTAACTGAAATGCATAAAATCTTCCCATTTTTGCCCCAACATAAAATATTATTGCATGAAAAATAACTAAACCTTGATAATTCATTTTCTTTTCAATTGATTTTTCATTGACTATAGCAACGCATCATATTTATTAGGGTCTTCATATGTTTTGTGAGCAAAAACACTTATTTTGTAAAGTAACTAAATCTGTCGGACAAATGTAAACGTAAAAAGTGATGTATTTATCTCTGAAATGAAGTGGAGTAGAAGTAAAACGTATACGAGAAACCGACTTTGAGTTAATACGTGGTTGCATTCCACTGCTTGAAGTATGGCTAACCCATATGTCTGTATTTAGTGATGGCAATGTAATCTGACATGTGTGTTCAGTTGAGAGACAGACAGCTGTATGTGTCATACCGTGCTAGTGGAGGGGGGGGGGGGGGGGGGGTGGGGGATGCCACTCTGTCGTCATGCTGCTGACTGTTGTGGTCTCTCTCTAACATGTTCAATTCCTCACAGATGTGCTGTACACTTTAAAGGCATATTCCCTATCACGGCCATTAAACCTTGTAATGGCGCCAAGATGTTCCCGGAGACAGGAGGCGTATGGAATAAGAACAGGCGGAGACACACTGTGAAAAGATACACTTGAAATGTGTATCCTGCCTTTTCCAATAGCACAAACCACATGCTGCACATCCATAAAAGTTTGCTTTTTAGTCACAAATGTAAAAGTTGAAATAAAGATTGTTGTGAACAAACACTGTGGAGCCATTCCTCTGCTTTTAACAAGCCTCTCTTCTGCTCTGGGACTTAATGGAGAACGTCTGGATGTATTTGTAGGCTTCCTCTTTTCATTGCATTCCTGCTGAGACAATCTTGCCTCATAGCACACACACCATATATTTTTCAAACAGCCAGACTCATAAAAGGACAGCAAAGGCACGGGTCCTAATCCACGCTTTAATGAGCGAAAACGGAAGTAATGGCATGCCAATTGACTAATAACCCGTGGCCGGCCCTAATGCCCCGGGTGTGACACGGTGTGTAATAGGAAAGAGAAACTTCTCCCGGGATTTGGTCCCTCGGGCAATTATTAAGAAGGATGACACTTTAACAATAGACGGATCAGAGCGCTCAACTTTGTCATCATGAGTGGATCCCATTATGTGGTGGAATAATGGCCGCCTGTGACGACAGAAAGAATGGAAAACAAAGATCATTTGAGGCGTCTCGCCATCTGAGCTGCCCTTTATGGCCGAGAACGATCCTCAATTGTTTTCTCGTCTTCGAGTAAATCCCATTTTAAAAAGGGCCCTATTCTTCTCATCTTCAGGTTCATACTGGATTTGTATTTAGTGTATCTACTGTGAAATGTCTCCATGCTTTATTAGCCGCTTTCACACCAAGTAGCCGTTCTTAGTTCCCAGCACTTAGTTCCCAGCACTTAGTACCCCCATGGAACTAAAGAGCAGATCGCGTTCACACCGGAATAAGTTCCCTGAGGGAGGATTACGCAAATGAAGCCGCTGACGTCACTTCTTCTTCTGCTTTGGGTTTACTGGCAGGCCGCAAACAACTTCACGGCGTATACTGCCACCCGAAGTCCCCGGCCGGAAGTCCCCGGAGTTGGGGACTGGCTTCAGTAGAAGCTGCTGGGACTCCCAGCAGCTTCTACTGAAACCTTCCGAGTAAATCCCCAGAACGCCGACACCTCCTCATCTCCACCGCTCACATGTTTTATTTTGTGTTGCCATAAGTTAGTCTCTCTCCGTTGGTGCGCTTGGCTGATGCTAATGCTAATAATGCTAATGCCAACAAATACAATGGCGGCTTCAAAAAACTTTTCACAGTTTTACGGGGCGTGGTTTGCAATTCGCCCAGCCAATCGAAATTTCTACTTTTTTCTCCCCAGGAAAGTCCCTGAAAATGGGGGTACAAGTTCTCTGAACTAAATACTCTTTTTGGTGTGAACGCAAAATTCCAGGCACTATCGGAACTAAATGGGGAAAAGTACTCCGGTATGAAAGCGCCTATTGTGTTCTCATACTGCCTGTGCTGCAGCACCTCTTTTCACCCTCTGTCTGAAACCAGAGCCCAGTCTGCTCTGATTGGTTGGCTGACTGGCTCTCTTGTGATTGGTCAACCGCTAAGAGATGTCCCGCCTCTTAGCCTCATCACGTACAATGTGTTGGAGCGCTAGCCAATAGGAGCTCAAGTGTTACCTAGAAACGCAAGTGTTACATAGTTAGACAGAGTCCAATGGAGGGATATCGAGGGGTAAACTCCCTTTTGAGGGAATTTGGGGATTTAGCCTTTGCAGACACAAAAACCTATAATACCCCACATGACATAATAAACTCAAAAAGCACAATAGGGCCTCTTTAATGTGGTTCTGGAGCTCAGAGAAATGACAGTCCTAAATGATGACCATGTATGCTCATTACATCTGGACCGAATGAGAACAGACATCATGACTTTCTTAAGCTTTATTTTGTCATTACACATGCAGGAAAATCTCCATGTGATAAACATTTCTGGATGGTTATCAGAGGAGTTTGCAGAACATCTTGAAAGGATGAAGATGCTACTTTGGCTTTGAATAATGGGAGGCTGTTTACTCTGTTGCAGATACCTATAGATAGCTCTCAATTTGGGCAATAAACACTTTGAGGAATGGCCGCCTGCCAACCCCGCTCTCCGTCTGTGTTTGTCTCACTTTGTAGCATCATAAGGCCACAGAGAATGCGAGATTATAATTTAAATTTAGACATGCATGCAAAGTGTAAGGCTAAGGATTCGACTGAGAATACATGTATTGACATTCTTGTTATTCTAAGGAATTGCTCTTCCACTAAAAGTACATTTTCCATTGTATAAAAGGTGATGGTGGAAACCAAAAGTATGTTCTGAGCAAACTGCTGAATGAAACAATGTAGCTGGTGTTTCAGAATCATCTGTGTCTTATCATTGGAAGAAAAAAAAGTCACTAAACAGAAAAACGTGGAGACTTTTCTTTCAAAGAGTCTCCAGAGCGGCTGTTGTCTTTAAGGAGGGAGGGGAGATTGCTTTCAGCGGCCTCAGCCCAGGACTGGTTCTCATCATTTTGACAATAAAACTCAAGGAGTTGAAACAAAGCAATGGTTCAGAGAGAGAGAGGGAAAAAAACGAGGGGGCTAGGAGATTTCCGCTGGCCTGCAATGAATCGGCTCCCCCTCCCCTCCCCTCCCCTTCCGAATCCCACAGAGGAGTAGAGAGGTGATTTTAGAAAAGCTTTGGAGGCTTAATTCCTCCGTGGCGCCCTGGGGGCTGAAGGACGCACGGACCAAAGGGCTTGAAATGGTTCAAAGATGAATGAGTGACTGTGCTTTCAATTCCCAGAGGTTTGTTTTTGTAGTGTCAGGGTTTTATTGCAGCTATAACAAGCTAAGATGTGACAGAGTAATGAATGAAAGAGAGTTCAGATCACCTTGAGGGTTAGGGAACAATACTCAGCTGACTTTAGGCACTTGCTCTTGCTTTTGTGCGGGCATGAATACAAAGAAATGTCAAACACTGAAGTCCCTGTACGACACTCATGTCCCTTTGAAGCACAATCAAACAGGTCTCATGCAGAGAGCCAGATGAGAAGAATATTCCTCTTATTGTTGTTTGTGTCCACAATGGTTGCTCTTTCCTTGGATAAGAGAACATTTTACAAGCGGCCGCCAAGAACATATTTGCCAAGTTAGGATAAAAAGCATTTTGTTTTGACAGTCTATAAATATTTTTCCAATACAAGTAGACTTTGATGAATCAGGCATAATACCATTTAAACAGATAACCATGGCATGCGTTCAGCTCTTAGATGCTCTTGGATGTTCCTAAAACCCCAGTACAACACTCTGGAGAATCACAGTATAATGTGTTGAAGTTCCTTTAAAGGTATCTCAATTTCACTTTTGCTGAATTTAACTGAAAGACTTATGAGGCATATGCCAGAGTATTTGCACACGGCACAGCACCTGACCTCATTAATGCTTAGGGCATGTTACCTTTGCTGAAATGAACAATTAGCCACCAATGTTGGACCAAGTGGGATTTATCTTTCAGCACAACTTTATAAGACAAAGGTTAGGAACGCCTGGGGCATCTGGAGTTCACACATTAGGGAAAAATATGAAAGAACTCTTTCTGCATGAGGCCCATTCTGTATTAAAAGAGCACATTAGTTTTATAATATGGGCAGTGCATGCTTTCAACAAGGCTGACATACTGTATCAACAACACTATGTATATATTTACAGACAAATCTGTACACTTTTTACATTCCGCTACTGATAAACGCATTAGAAAAAATAGTCAGTTTCATCCAAAAACTGCACCACAGAGGTGACCGTCCTTTTTATATGTCGGCGCTGGTGCAGACCTGCGACAGCCGGGGGTCGGAGTCGATCTCGAAGCGGTAGTGGTACCCCTCCCACACCTCCCTGCAGGCGTCCCGCAGGTCGTTGATGCGCTTCTTGATGCCCTTGCGGTTCAGGTAAAGTACAAAAAGAAAAATGAGACCGACGAAGCCCAGGACTATACCCAAGAAGACGTAAGAGGTCTGCAGAGCGAGGTCAGCCCCTGCCCCGCTCTGATGGCACCCCAGAGTTAACGTAACCACGGAGAGCATGGATGTGTTCCTCATGCCCGTTGGGTATGCACACACGAGGCTCTCAGCATCACTAATGCGTCCCTGAGATCTGTTCAGCCACAGGGCGAAAGACTCGATTCCACACGTGCATGTGAAGGGGTTTTCCCCCAGCAGGAGGTCCGCTCTGGGCAGGGAGTCCAGCTCTCGAAGGCCCTCCTCCGGCACCGCCTTCAGGGAGTTTAGCGTCAAGTCGAGCACCTGCAGGCGCTCCAAACCGGTGAATGAGGAGTTGTGGATCGCTACGAGGGAGTTGTTGGAGAGCAATAGGCGCTGGAGGCTGGTGAGGTGGGAGAAGATGTGCGAGGGGAGGAAGATGAGGCCGTTGTGGGAGAGGTCCAGACTCCTCAGGGCGCCCAGGGAGCTCCAGCGCAGAGAGGTGGCCAGGTCCATCACCGAGGAGTGGTTGTAAAGGGCCCGGCTCAGGTTCAGATCCAGCAGGGAGTGGTTCTGCACCATGAAGGCTTCGGGGTGGATGATCGCCAGCTGGTTGTTGCTCAGGTCCAGAGAGCGGAGGCTGCGCAGCCCCGAAAACGTGTTGGAATCCACCTCGGATATTCTGGGTTTGAGGGAGATTAATGAGACGTTGATTATACTTTTAAATAAAATACAAGAGCAAGAAGGTGGAAATAATGCAATGCCTTTAGACAGAACAGGGCTGATTTGTTTGGATACAAATGCTTCAATAAATTGAATGGGGTATTCATTTTAATACAGTTTGATTGAAGCAACAACAAGGAACAACTAATACTCAATTAGTGCTGCAACAACTAATCGATTGGTTTACCGATCATCAAGTATTTTGATAATCAATCATTAAGTAGTTTATCATGCAAAAATGGTAGGAGACGGTGTCTGCTGCCCCTCAGATATGGAGGTTTCTGGCTTTTCTCTGTTATACCAGACATGTAAGACCTCACCTTCAACTTTCCAAAACAAATGACAAATCTCACTATTTCCTGACATAACATCAATGGAGTTAACAATTAATCAATAACAAATGATCAATAGTTGCAGCCTAGAGCTGCAAAGGCTAATCAATTGGTTTGGATGGCTGAAAATAACAACTAATTATTTTTGATAATCAATAAATCATGAAGTCGTTTTCCATGCAAAGTTGGCAGAACATGCCGTCAGGAAATGTCCTGCTTTTCTTGGTTTTCTTTCATGATAAAGTGAGTATCTTCAAGATTGAAACAGACATAACAAGACATTTCTACTGTGGACTTTGAGAAATGTATGACATTTTACACCATTTTTTTATTTTGTATTTGATTAATCGATCATACGTATACATTCTGCCAGGGATACATCTGCTTTGCATTACCACAACGTGACCTGGAGTCACCGGGAGAGTCTCACCTGTTGTTGCTCAGAGAAAGGGTCGTCACATTGTCCAGCCCTTTGAAACACTCCGGGCCGATACGGCCGATATGGTTCCCGGTGATGAACAGATTCCGGGTGTAACCGGGGATCCCGGCCGGTACAGCCCGCAGCTCTCTGGAGACGCACTTCACGGTGTGTGCCGCCTCGGAGCACTCGCAGCGCGGGGGACACGAAGCGTAAAGAGAGCCGAGCAGCGCGCAGAAAACAAGGCGCTGCGCCAGATCCCGCATGTTGGAGAGGAGGGAAAGTGAGCGGTGCAAAAGAGAAACACAAATGGTTAAATGAAACGATCAGCTCCTCCAAGACGTCATAATCAAATGTTGTCCCGGCTGGGAATGCGCCTCAACTTTGCATCTCTGCAGAAAGTGTGGCCGGGAGGCAGGGTCTGATTTCCATGAGAACAGAGCTGGGGGTCGTGCTGATCTGAGGGTGTTTGATCCTGTGCCGGGGCGAAGCGGGGCGTCGCTTCTTCTCCAACAATGAAGTTAAAAGGACCCTCGCCTGGTGCGATGATATGTGGGGAGGGGCTTCTCTCCTGCCGGAGCCACGAGATGTTTCCTCTGGCTGGAGAGAGGAGGAGAAAGTGGCCGAGCCCCCCTCTCTCTTTCTCTCCATGTTTACACTCAAATACAACCATGTGGCGCTGGACAATACTGCAGCTCCTACCTGAAGACAGGGACAGGACATCTGATTGAGTTGTTGCAGGACAAAAACATGCAGAATCCTGCAAGAAGTTTCTATAGTAAATGTGCAGAATTAGAAGAAGTACTCTGGTATTAAAAAGTAACAATACCACAGTGTGGGAAATACTCAAAATGTTACTTAAATAAAAGTACTTAACTTTAGCATAGGAATATTCTTAAAGTACCAAAAGTGAAAGTACTCATTTTGCAGAGAAGCTCAATACAAATAATTGGCTGATTATACAATTATTTTCTTAACCTTTTGCTCCAGCGAAAACAATATCTCAGTGGAGTACAAGTATACAGTTGCACAAATTGGGAATACTGAAATAAAATACCTTAAAACTGATATAAGTACTGCATTTAAGTATTTGTGACAAGGCCCATGTTCCCTATTTGGTTTATTATCAGGTATACTTGTTTTACTTTATTGGATTTCTTTATGAGAATTTCATCAGTTCATCAAAACTGCCCAATTTTTTATGAACAAAAAAAAGCAGGATGTTGCAAGAAAATGTTTTCTATGATAAACAAATGAGTATTAAGATATTTTACTTTAGTGGCAATACTGCCGTGTAGACATACTGTAAAAGTAATGCATTCATTTTCATTAATAACTGTATTGCAGTTAAAGAAATACAACAGAAAATGGGAATACCCGAGTACAGTACAACACAACTGATGGTTATTTTTGTATGATTGGAATCCTAGTCTTATTTTATAGCTCTAATTTTGTTTTAAAGAGGTTTTTATGAGAATTCCTACAATAACACATTTTACCAGTTGAGGAATGTGCAGTCCGGGGTCATTCCCAGCTCCCCAGGTGGGATGGTAAACGTGGGGGAGGGGTGTTTGGGGGTCCAGACTATAAACCCCCTTTGATCCCCTACCTTGAATACCGTGATACTCTGCAGGATGATGGCCCCTCAGAGGAGCTTTGATATCAGCATCAGATCTGTGGCTGCTTCCTTTCCTTAATGTTTATTCTGACAGCTTATAATGATTATTACAGGAATCACTCGGGAGTTATTTATAGAAACTCCAGGAAGACGGTGGGGGTGGGGGGATGGATTTGCCTTTCATGGACTCAGAGTGTCCTGAAATCCTCACATCATCCAACAGTTATCATAAATAAATAAAGGAAAAGAAATAGCACACATTTTCTACAATAATAGAGATTTGTCTGGAAGTCAAAAACACACACAGGAAATTTGTCGTGAGCCAATAAGATCAGCAGCATGACATTAGCGAAACAAGAGGTTGTTATCTTATATTTCAGACGGGTATATATGGAAAGCGGCACTTATAAAAGCATCCCCGACTGTCTTTTGTCAGCGGAGAGAGTCTGAAAGGACCGAGGTCTCCACATTCCTGGACCTGGCTCTTGGATACGACAAGGCACCACAGCAGGTGACATTTAAAACCCTTCAATCCATCTCTACTTGATATTGCACTCCTGCACATGCACTCATAAGGACGCACTATTAGTCGTCACAACTTCTATTTCTCGTCCTAAATGATATGTGTTATAGGTAAAAAGCAGTAGAAATCACAATGCTGAGTTTGATGAACTGAACTCAAAAGGGCCATTCATTCAACCAATGCCTTTCATAGCTCAAAATGTAATAAATGACGTGTTATTATTAAAGAAAACAAGTCATTTAAGGGCAGCTTGTCTCCCGTTTTCCAACATTTAGCGCAATTATAGAGACCGAGGGTCTTTCACATTTCTCACTGCCACAATATCTCTCTGCTCAAGTAGCCTGATCATTTTCAATATAAATACTTTAGTTATTTTTACAATAAAATGTGATATGCTCCTCTATAGTTGCATGATTTTAAAGGGGAACACCACCTTATTAAAGATATTCCAATATGTTATTTCCATGGTTTAGGAAAGTTCAAATAATATTGTTGAACACGAGTTACTCTCTGTCAAAGTTAAACGAATGGGAGATTTGTGTGGACAGACAAGAGGTTTGTTTCTCTTTCTATTCCCGAATGAGCTTCATTACCTAATAAGCTTTACTTTCCGGTATCTTCTGTTTTGTTTAGGAGAGTCATTTCAGGGTGAATTGTGTAAAATACTTCTGAAAACATTGTGTTTTCAGCTCCATTGTGTTGTTGTACGTCAGCAGGAAACACAACTGGCCCAAATGTCATGATACTTGGTGGAAGGCTGCAGCGTAATGCACGAAAGAAACCGTTATGTACATTTGTTAACTTTGATAGGGCACTTTTGGTATTCATGTGGTGTCAGAATAATAAAACATAAGTTATTGACAAGGGACATTTTAGAAATGGCTATCAATGTGTTTTTTAAAAACAATTGAATGACAGAGAACCTGCACCATAAGAGGAGTATGTGAATGCAATGCATGAAGGAAAACAAGTTCCCTTAAACTCATCATCTTTAAACATCTTCTCCCAATTCATTGTAGTTTCCAAATGTATTGTTGGTGAAAAAAAATCACTTTAGTTTTGGATTTGGGAGAGACGGTTGTTCATGTTTGCTTCTATTTTTGGACCGTCTACGCCCCAATAAACAACATGATTTAATTTTGAAAAATGGACGTAGTACCCCTTTAAAAAACAGTCTTGAAGTGACACAGTAATAAGGTTTAAATTATATATTTTATAAAAAGGATTCCCCGTTCAAAATGCGGGTAGATTCTACATTGCATTACTCGTTCAAACGGTTGGAGACGAATGTCTACAGAAAGCTCCACACGAACAGCACAGGCTATTGCATCAAATCAACGTTAACTTAAGCAGGCCTCTTAAAGTCTAATGTATTATTTATTCTTGCTACGGTTTGCCAACAATGACATACAATTTAAACCAGATTAAGAGAAAGATGAAGAGTAATAAATATAAAAATCAATCAGCGGGCAGTGGGGCCGCAGTGGAGAGCAGCTGATTATTAATCAAGAAGCCACAGTGATGTGTCACACACTCTTGCATGCATACAACACACACATGCAATCTCCAATCACTATGTGCATGAATAACACACACTCCATCAGGCACAAATCTGCCTCCCTGCTGTGCATAGATGGAAAAATGACGGTGTAAATTATTGAAAAGGATAAATCTGTAGAGTGAGAGATCAAATTTGCTAAGTATATAAAGAGCACCTGGTGTACAGTATAATGTGTGATCAAATATTTACAGGCAACATGGGTGAAATACACAAGAGGCCACAGAGTATTAACATAAGTGCAAGAAAACAGGTTACCCCTTTAACACGATACAGAAAAAACAGATTTTAATTAATAAAATCACTTAAATGCCTTTGGATTATGGCAGGATGTGGGCTGGGTTCTATCAAAGCTTTGTGAAAACAGCGCTGACATTTCACAATGACCTTCGAATGTGATCTGCAGCGGTGGAAAGCAGCAGGAAGGACGCTATGAGTGAAAGTGGGGAAATGCAGTAGGGGTTGGAGAGTGTGAAAAACCTGAGGATCCTGGCTACCTGCTGCTCCTGTCAGCACCGGACAAAGAGAGGGCTCAACACTTATTCTGTTAGACTGCAAACAATGAGGGGATTTCAATCTACTCACGACACCCATGGCAACGGATTGGAGGTGCCAAACACCACGTGGAACTATTTTCTTTCAAGTATAACTAGAACAATGAAATTAGAAGATATTGAGGACCCGTGAGAGAGTTTATTTTTTTAGGCACCGACTCCTGCTTTTTACTTTTAGGTCAAAAATTGGGAATAAAAACATAATAATAAGAGCTGACCAGGATTCATAACCCTCACATTTATACCCCTTTTCCACCAAAGCGGTTCCAGGACCAGTCTGTTGTTTTTATTACAGCTGTATTAACATGCCAATACAGCTTAAAAGGTCTCACTAAGATCTCACTGAGAACTCACTGAGAACTCGCTGAGAACTCGCTAAGAACTCGCTGAGAACTCGCTGAGAACTCGCTGAGAACTCGCTAAGAACTCGCTAAGAACTCACTAAGAACTCGCTGAGAACTCGCTGAGAACTCGCTGAGATCTCGCTGAGATCTCGCTGAGAACTCGCTGAGAACTCGCTGAGATCTCGCTGAGATCTCGCTGAGAACTCGCTGAGAACTCGCTGAGAACTCACTGAGAACTCACTGAGATCTCACTGAGATCTCGCTAAGAACTCACTGAGATCTCGCTAAGAACTCGCTAAGAACTCACTAATAACTCAATAAGAACTCACTAAGAACTCACTAAGAACTCACTAAGAACTCACTAAGAACCGAACAAGCACCAGACGGAGCTAGCACCAAACTGCCTTTCAGTGGAAAAGGGGTACACGAGGCTTTTCGTTCAATAACCCTGGAGTTGCTAATCAGCTGTTCCACTAAATAAAAAGTTAGATATTCAAGGACACAGTTTGAGTTTGGCACAAGAATAACAAAAACAAAAGCTGAACCATCGTCTGGGTTTTAACCGCAGCCACATTCATTGAGTTTGCTACAATCGCTGCACAGATGATCTGTAGTTAAAAAGGTTTGAAAACATTCTGAAAGAAGTACCATGAGGCAATACATGTAATGCACGTACAACAAATCTCTGAGATACTATTTCTGTTTTAGAAGATGTAAGAAAACACACAAAAATACAAACTGCTGCGACGTGTTTAGCGGAGCATGAAAAACAGTAAAGTCACTTGGAAATGCTTCTAATCGATGTAACATGTTTGTATAAAAATGGCATTCTGGAAGCAGTGAATTATGGGATTTCACTCCCTGGAAATTATAAAAGATCTGGAAGCAAGGCATGAATGTGTTCCCTCTGAGAATTCACCAATTCCTCTATTTTTCAGCTACACCACGTCGACACTTTGCAGGTGGCGATGGCTTAAACCTGCCCTCAGGGTTTGAAGTATCATATCCATCAAGTGTTTGTACGTCGGGTGTTCAGTCACGACAAATAACCGATATAAAATCACTTCCATCACTTTCAATCTTAGCATAACGCCGCTAACAGGCCGTCTGCTTCTCACAAAGCCAGCCTGTGTTCCCGCTCCACAACCCTCTCTCGGAGGTTAGTAGTCTTTTATCTCCTCGACACCGTGTGATGCCCCCCCCCCCACTCCCTCGATGTGTAAAAGGTCAACCTGCGGGGGTCCTCGTGTCCTCCACCTGCCTCCAGGTCACCGCAGGTTGAAGGCCAGGACCACAGCGATGATGATGCCCATCAGCATGAGGAAGGGCAGCCAGGTCTTCAGAAAACCTGCACAGCTGGAGAACACACAGAGAGGAAGAGTAAATGAAGAGGAGGGAAATAAAAGAGCATGGAAACTGATGATTTGTATTATTTTCAGTATGAAATATCAGCGTCATATTTGTACTGATTTAAAAACGGTTGTATTATTTTATGGCACTGACCTCCATCATGACATCAGAGTGCCACAGTGACGCATCCTAGAACCCGGAAGTAAACTCCTTCCGGTTCCTTCGTCAAAAACGCAACGTAATGTCTCCATAGGATTTAGGAAACTAGCTGGAAATAAGGTCTGTGGTTGAAACACATTTAAGAGACGGGTCACGTTTTGTTCAGCCGGATAATCTCCACATGTCTACCCTACTTTTATAAGTTTCTAATCATAAATCTAGTCGCCAGAAGCAAAATGCTAACGTTATGCTATAAACGAACTACAGCAGCTTCAACGTCACGCCGACTTAACATCCATATTCAAACATACAGATTCTAAATTGTACAAGTTGAAGCGTTTGTTTGAACACTCTGCAGGAGGCAGGGACTTGCTTTCAAGCAGAACAGAAACTAACTTAGAGGAGTGTGTACGTGTTCGGCGTAATGACGTAAAACGACCTCGACAACTTCTGTAGTCCTATTCAGCCACTTGGTAACAACCATCGTTTCTCAGACACGTCAACTCTTCAGAAATCACCAGCTGCTGATGGATTTAATGTCGTAGAACAAAACGTGATCCGTCTCTTGAATGTGTCTCAACCACAGACCTTATTTCCAGATATTTTCCTAACTCCTATGGAGAAAAGGAACCGGAAGTGGTAACATGCTAACTTACTTCCGGGTTTTAGGACGCGTCACTGTGGTACTCTATTTCATTACACCCGACAACTCGCAATCACCAGTTTTGAAGCATTGAAAACTTTATTTCATAAAAACGACAATTTATTAAAACATTTTTGTAGGCTGTAGAATGTCGTTAAATATGGCAGCAGACCATTTACATGCACAAAAACCTATAGAACACACGATAGGAAAGGGAAAACCCCAAAAAGCGCAATAGGGCCTCTTTAAGCTTCATTTGAAAACTTAAATATGAGCCTCTGAGCTAATTAAAAAAAACATTCAGTACAGTTGTCGCACACCAAAGTGACTACATTGGGAAGTGACTTTATTTGTCTAATCAACTTGTTTTAACAACAATCACCTCACTCACTGGGATGTGTATTCCACTCCCACATCACTTCAGTTCACAGACTTTCTGCAGGACTGTCCTATATACGGTCTTACTACTTCCCTAAAATCAGGTCTGCCTCCCTCTCTCGAGTCCTGAGACACAAACAGGTTCAAGGCATTCCAGTAAAATCCCCGAGCCCCCGGATCAGAGAGAGAAACCTCGTCCAGAGCTCCAGAATCTTCTTCTTACGGTGGCTTTACACAGAGCAGCGCAGATCAAATGCTACGCTCCAGTTTGGGCCTTTGAGGCAAATAAAATGCTGATGTTTTAGAATAAAAACTGTCGATTTTCTGTACCAATGCCAACACATTTAAAGCATTACAAAAATGATGCTGAAAAGCTGTAAGCTTCATCCCAGTATCTGATGCTTTTATCAACACATCTAGACTCAGGCGCTGTTTACACGAGAACGAAACGGCTGTATCCGCTACCTTTCTCTCGCGTATAGCCCGTTCGTTCACACGAGGCCGCAACGGAAACGCGGAAACTCACCCCGCAAACGATAACGGGCCTCAAGGTGGATAGATCTGCAACCGGAACGCTCTGGGGGGCCAAACGGCTCCGTGTGTACGTCCTATACGATAATTTCCTGATAACGATGAAGCCATAGCCCCGCCTCTCCCCCCCTCTGCTGCTCACTGCTGTAGCATGGTCCGCCGCTACTGACCATGCTACAGATGTTAGTGCAACATCTAAAGCTCCTCTACCACAACCATCAGCAACAAGTGGACATGGAGAACTACATGTTGCTAAATCCACCGCGGAGAATAAACAGAAGGGCAATCAGGCAACCATGGCAACCATGCTCGGGGGTCTTCTTCGCTGCTTTTGGTGTATTTTGTGGCGGAGGTACAGCGCCACTTACAGGCCCGGCATATGTACTCCAGCGTCTCCAGCGGGTCGAGCGGTCTCGTGTGAAGGGACACGTTTATTGAGCCGTATCCGTGTGGACGGAAGACTTTTTTGATATTAAATTCGGTTCGTTTGCGTTCCCGTGTAAATGGGGTCTTATACATGCTGAGTTAAC